CCCCCTGTCCCGCCCCTTCTGGTTCAGACGACGTCTCCGACAGCGCTACGGTTTTGCTCGACTTGATCCCAGCCCCTCCACCAAAGTAATGAACCGTCTCCTATCTGCCCCCTGCAGAATAATCCACATTGCGCATCCTTCTTACTTGGTTCCACCTTCACGTGGGTTCCACCCCCGAAGGCGAGTTTGGTTCCCGAGCCTCCTGGTTCACACAGTGAGTCTGGGTACAACCCAAAGTCCAGCTCCCTGCTTTTCTCAGCCTACTTCCTCTTAGCCACGCGGGCTCCAGCTAGGTGTATGTCTCCATAACTTCAGCAACCGATCCTACGATCTGTGTGTAATCAGTCACGCACCCACCTAAATATTACTGTGGCCAGAGCAAAGCCTCAGAGGCACGGGACCCCGCCGCGGCTGCGGCTACATGTCCACACCAAGACCCGGAGCACAGTGTGCTCGGAGCTGTACAAGCTGAACAAGAGAAAGCCCCTGCCTCAATTATGTTCCAGTGGAAATAGACATGACAGGATCATATTCGGAATTTGTAGGTGAGGTCCCGACGCACCAGGAATAATTTGTCCCAGGTCACACCAGGAAACACTGGCAGAACTGGAAAGAAATCCCCCGTTGTTCTCAGTCTCTGGCCACTGACTTAACACGACAGTTCTAGGGAAAAAACCATCTTTGTAGGGCCGAGGAAACAAAGTGGATTTCTTGATTTACAGCTGGCTGGAGAAATTCCTGCCAAACCTCTCTCCAAGGGAAATGGTCATGGAAGCTGCCTGCTTTCCCCCAAAATGACTATTTCTACTCCTCCTCGGAAAACCCAAAGAATCTGACAATCCAAACTGGTTGGGTGGCAACGGAGAAGTTTCCCCTGGTTTCCAGTTGCTGGAAATGGAGATAGTGTTTAGGTTTTACACTAAAAAGTTGACTTTTTCTGACGCCAATTCCAAGGCGAACCCAACGCCAAACAAAAAACCCAACCCTGTTGTGTCTGAAAAAATCCTTCCATTTTCTGATCGCCTCTAATTCTTACCGAGCTACTCAACCCGCCAGTGAACCTCACGAAGGCGCCTGGGGGCTTAGTGTAAATCAGCATTGCCCCACGA